TAGAGGGTATTGGGCTAAGCTACAACTACGGGTCTATAGGGTACTAGACTCAACTGTGGGGAACTAGAGGGTACTAGGCTCAACTGTGATGGGCTAGAGGGTACTAAGCTCAACTGTGGGGGGCTAGAGAGTATTGAACTAAGCTTCAAGAGGCTAGAGAGTATTGAACTAAGCTTCAAGAGGCTAGAGTGTCCTGTGCTCAGTTACAAGGGTCTAGTGGGTTCTAGGCTCAGCTACGAGGGGCTAGAGAGTACTAAGCTCAACTATGGGGGGCTAGAGGGTATTGGGCTAACCTACAAGGGCCTAAAGTGTACTGAGTTCAGCTATGGGTGGTCTAGAGAGTACTGAGCGCAGCAATGACTTCATATATACGTGGCTGACCATGTTTTTGTTTGTATAAACGAGGTTCTACTTTATATTTATTGACCTAGAATCCTAGGGTTAGGATGGAGGGTCCGGGGGTACGTGATGAGGAATTGAAGTTGGAGAAGCTGAAAAATGCTCTAGGAGAAGAGCTTGGAACTTCCAGGAGAAATTGAAGGAAGTTAACGGAAGTGCTAACAGGATACGAGCAGGGGAGAAGGAAGTAAATGGTGTTGAAAGAAAGAAAGGGAGGATTTCTTCAAGGGGAGAGGAACACGACCCGAGGTAGGGAAAGAGAAGCAAGAAAGAAGGATAGTGTACGAGAACAAGGAGAATAATAATAAAAAATAACAACTGGGAGAATAGTAGGGAAAAAAGATATGGGGATCAAAGAGTAACGGATGATAGAAATGGTAATGACCCCGGCGGGGGTGGCTGAGTACCTGAAGAAAAGTTGGGAGGATGTGGAATAGCCTGGCGAGGCTTAGAATGAGTTCAGAAATGAGGGGAGCATACAGAATGAAGAGGAGACTCTCAATTACTCGAGGAGTGAAGAGGAAAGGTTGCGCAGGATGTATTATGCAAAACGTAGCACCGAAAGCGGAGGTCCTAGACACTGGTTGGGGTATTCTCTCTGCCTTTCTCGCGACAGAAATCGTAGAATTAACTAAAATAGGGCTAGGACGGGGCAGTAAATAAGTAGAAAGGAGGTGGAGTATTAGAGATTAGATAGTTTTTAAGGTAGTATGTAAGGTAAATAAGCTGGATGTAATTGGGAAGAGTATGGGAAGGGAGTCCTTGTAACCCCGTTGGAGATGGGGGGGGGGAGGTAAATAAACACGCATACATCAATATTAGAGACAAGATAAATTACAGTTATTTATTTGCATTTTTCACCCCCACCTTGTCAAGGATCATTTTTAACGAAGATTATAAATAAATTACTTTTAAGTATGTACTTATTTTTAATGTACTTTTTATCTCTTATAGAAATGTCTTCTTTGTAGAAATTACGATTAAATTAAAGTTAGAGAAAAATACTTCGTGTGTGTGAATTTTATCCTTCGCAAGCGCGTTGCGTACGTTTATTTACTTCTGTTTGTAGTAGTCTGCGACAATTTTCCAAGCCATGGGTGCCATAAAACCTTCTGGTGGATTTTCACCAGACTTTGCCAATGCTGAAATAATTACATATATATATTGTTAGCATTTAGTACATAACTTATTAATATTCTAATTTGAAATGAGCGTTATTAAATTATTATTTTCTTCAGGTAAACACTAATTAATGTTTCACTAACCGTACAATAATTCTGTATACGTATCATTCACTTTGTGTAATATTATATAGTACACTGCGTTTCGAAATTATACGAATACTTGGATTTTTGAAGTTTCAGTGGCTTGAAATAGTTTTTCATGAATACCAATTATATTACGGTATCAATATCAACGTGGCAAGAAACCAGTGGACACCTGTTATATTATATTATACAGGGCGTCCCAAAACTCGTGTAGGAGCCGGAAATGGGGGATAGCTGAGACGATTCTGTAGAACAATTTCCATTGCAAAAATGTCGGAGGATTTTTCAAAAATTCGAAAATCATGGATTTTACAGGTGTTTAAATATAAATAATTAAAATATAAATATAAATAATAAATAATTTTTTCTTTACGTAAGTTTATAATGTTCGTGCATGAAACTTGATATTTTTGACTTATTTGAGCAGAAAACTTTGAATCTGACATCAGAATTGCAAAATTCAAAATGACGGATCCAATATGGATGACATGTATATTGAAAAGTTATTATTCGTATAACGGTATTACATTTTCATGGAACTTTCATTTTCATGAAACTTGATATTTCTGACTTATTTGAGCAGAAAACTTTGAATCTGACATCAGAATTGCAAAATTCAAAATGGCGGATCCAATATGGCCGACATGTATATTGAAAAGCTATTACGTTTTCATGAAACTTGGTATTTATGACTTATTTGAGCAGCAATCTTTGAATCTGACATCAGAATTGCAAAATTCAAAAT